TTCTCCATTTCCCAGAACTCTATGAAAGATGATTCTGGTTAAAGTGATACTCTTAGTAATAATTATCTCCATAAGACCCATGCTATCATTTAGGTAAGTCCTTGAAAACAATGTTATTTTAAGAAGCCATGAAAAAAATTGCATCATGATTCTAAGATTTTCCATCAACACTACTGTGAACAATAGCAGGAATGAGGTCCTTCTGTATTCCTCTACTAATGCCGAGCTAGTCTTTTCCTGAAAGATGTATGTGAAAGAGAAGAAGTAGAGAAATGTCAGGCACAGAAAAGTAACTTGCTCTCTAGTATGTGGAAGGTTTATAGCATTAAAGCTGCTTAATTAATATCAATAAGAGTGCCCGTAAAGGTTAAAGGATCATTTTAACAAGCAGTAAAAATTCTCATGATCATTACAGAAGCATAGTCTGTCCTACACCAGTGGGTCATTTTCCATGCACAACAAAGTGATGTGAAATTAACTATTTTCATAAACAGATAGTCTTTAGGATAATATCTTGTACTTTTTTTATTTCCTTTTTGGCAGCCCATTATGCCAAATGTCAGCAATGTTAATAGTCTTCACTAGAAGCTGTCTGATACTGTTGGGATGCTTTGCACAGATAGTCTTTTTTTCCAGGATTATAAGCGGAAAGCTGAAAAGTTTAGAGAAGTACAGAAACATAAAAGCCACATATTGATTTTAAAAAGGAATCCATATAAAATTCCAAGAATGAAAATTCAAGGTTTAAGATGTTTTTTCAACTCTATTGCACTGCTAAATTTCAGAAGTCAGTAATCTTTAAATACTCACAGAAAACATCTTTTGTTCCTAACTTGTATTCATAACAAGGAGTTAGTGATGCCCTATTTATAACATTTTCAATTCATAAAGTCCACATGTGGCCGTGTACTAACATAACCAGACAAAGTGCACATTTTTTTTAAAAAAAACAACAACCCTAGACCTCATAAATCTCCAGAAATTCCTCACATCTATTATGTTTACCTTCTGCTGCTGATGAGCCTGTTGGGCTCTGTACAGAGGAAATTACAAGCGCTCCAGAAGATTTGGCAAGAAGATGCTAGAAGAAACAATGGGCAAAAAAATAAAATAAAAAACAAAACTTAACTAAAGCATCATATCCAGCCTTGGCTACCATTTACATATTTGAAATTACAGCTAGTAAAATGGAAATTCCATTGAAATGGAATAAATTGTTTTCTGAAATCCCTATCTAATTATTGCTGGTGATGGCTGAAATTAAACATGTTAATAGGCTACACTCAATATACTTTATGGAATGCAACTGAAGGCTAACTTTGTGGTTGAAAATCGATCTGTTTATACAATTTTCCAGTTAGGAACCAAGGTACTATGTTCACGTCAAACATTTACTCCAAGACTTGTGATCGCTTGCCTAGTAACCTGTATTACCAAACAAGTCTTTCTTGACTTAATAGATGTTTGGAGACTGTTATAACAGCTGCTAACTAGTAAGAAAATGCCAGTAGAAATATTTTATAGTCACACATTTAAATATTGCTGGGAATTTGTTTATAGTTGATGCCAAGGGAAATGCTTATGTTTAAGGAATATCCTGTACAGTGATAAAAACAATTAATAGGTCAAATAGTTCTCCACCCAAATTATGTATATACATGCCAACACAATCAAGTAAAAGTTAAGGGAAAAGAAAAGTCTAATCATTAGGCACTAGGGGTTTCCCCCTCTTTATTCATAGTAAGTATTAACCCTTCTACCAAGCTAACTGGTTGTTTGGTCATTTCTGTAGACACAAATCTTATAATCCACATAGGGAAACGCACTTAAAGAATATTAAATTCCCTTTGTGTTCTAGAGGAATGTAGGTTATATATTTAAAATTTGGTAAACACATACTTGTTGCGTGCTGTTACATTTAACTAATTATAAATGGATATTTAGGCATGAATTAATTTAGCAGATAAGACTTCTAAAGGACTTTTAACTTTGGAGGTAAAATTCTACCCAAGAAGCACAACAAAACAACAAAGCATAAACTATGGAATTGATGGTAATCATTTACAAGACTAAATGGTAAAAAAATTATAATAATTGCACTTATCTGTGCAAAAAGAGAAGCTACAAAACAATCAATTGACTTGAACCACACACATCAAATCACATCTTTATCAACTATTGGTCCTTATGCTCAGACTGATCGTCATTTGCCTCCTCCTGCACAATTCCCCCCGACCACAAAAAGCATCCAGAAATAGATAAACCAAGGATACATCATAAGTTTAAACTAAAGAATTGTATTTTATTATGGCAAAAAATCAAGTCATTCCTTAATAAACTTACTATGAATGTATTTCAATTCACATGGAAAGACAATAGAACTGAGCCAACACATTCCACAGACTGCTACTGCCAACCAGTGTTAATAAACGACCCTTTTGAGTTTTGCTATTTCCTCCAAAGGACCAGCTAACTATGTTTAACCATATCTATACAAAGTATTTTTCAGACTCATAATATCTGTTCTTATCTCTTTGAAAATCACTACAGTGCTTTACAAGGGTTAGGCCCACATGCCTTTAGAATGTTTGGCATTTAGCCAAAACAGAGCTTGAGAACACTAGATAAGAGCCAACTGTTAAAAAAGAAATTAGAAGGGGGGAAAATTTCCATTCTAATGAATAAAACTGCAAAACCAAGGAGTGTTAGCAGGGGACTTATAAAAGATATGG